GCTTGGCTCTGCCAACCCACTGGAAGTGGCAGAGTTAAATGGAGACTGTAAAACCCATCAAACCATAGAATACATTCCATTTCTTTTTTTTTTTTTTTTTTTTATCTCTCAAAGCCCAGAAGACTTTCCCAAGACTTCTACATTGAAGTTTCTCCTGGAGTCTATTCTATCACAGCAATCTCAGAGGACAGGGTGCAACAAACCCATGTAGTAGATGTCAATGCAGGACAAAGTATTGATTTAACTTTTGTCCTGTAATATTTGTTGTTTCCTGGCTATAGCAGGAATAAAGGATTAGGCTCTTTTTAATGCTTGTAATGAGCTATAAATATCCTACTCTAGTTAGCACTTTAATAGTAACTTCCTCTTTGGGACTCCATTTTTATGGCCTGTAAATTTTTTTTCTACTTAATGCAATTATGTGCAGCCCACTTTGTACACTGATTTTTRTAAATATCTGTACATTGTGTGCCTTTTAAATCCAATTATGTGACTGTGTAATTCCAGATTCTTCTGCTCTAAACAATTAAAGATACAATCAGTGGAATAAAATACATGATCAAGCCTTTGTGGCGAGAGCTTCTTTTGTATTATCCTCAGACAGAACCCTCAAGTCAGTGTTGACCATAGAGAGYATGATCCATGTGTTATGAATATGTGTGCACATTAGCATCTCTAGGCTGGCACTGATTTTGGAGCAGCTAGCTTACAAGCCTACTTGTACTTTTATAAGTCTGGTAAAGAAATTAAATGCGACTGAAATTCACTCCCTTGAACCCTAGCTCAGAACGTGCTGGAGTGTATGTAGGGTGTTAAGTATAGGCACGTAAACTATTGATTCAAGTCCTGTCGCTTTGCAGACCAGGCTAACCCCTTTTCTGAGGGCTGTGGGGTACCCTGAATTGTCCTATTGACTGCTGAGCAACTGCACACTGCAGCTCATGGCCAAGTTCATATGCTTTAAACACAAGCAGTCCCACAAACAAAACTCCCTGGATRCTTAATATTCTCAAAGGACCAAATTCCGTTTTTAGAATTAGTGATGTGATCTATATAGATCTGTCATCTTTTTGTAGCTGATGTTATTAAGGTTTCAGTTAATTTTCATCAGAATATAAAGATCAGCAGCTTGAATGCTAATCATTGTGTTGTTTGTATCCACAGTAGCAGGTCCTTTTGCCTCTGGCTACTTTCTCTTCTGCTTTAATCCTGAAAAAAATATTTTCAGCTGTCAGCTTGTATTGTTTCYCCATTCCTTCTGGCTTTCTACAAACAGAAATTGCTTTGCTGAATTTCTCTGGCTCACTCCAGAGAACTGTAGTAGACAAATTGAAGGTTTATTGGGCTCTTACTGTACATCTGTTCAGGCTTTTAGTGCTCATACTAGTTTATCTGATCTCTCCAGAATTGTAAACTCAAGTCCAAATAGTTAGGAATTTAATGTAACACCCCRCAGTAGAGAATGAGGATGCTCAAGTTTGATGTGAGTGAAAATTGAGTTTCTCAGTCATTAAAATTATATAGTCATCCATAAAGATATTCTACTGAGACAGTGCCTAAATCAGAACTTCATTTGCCTAATAAATATAACTCAGATATAGTAGAAGCAGTTTACCTGAAATTTCAGCCCCTGAACTTGATCAGTTGTTGATGTACTGAATTCTGGTTGATCATGTCTCTCTCTGCTTTGTTGCAAGGGAGCTCTGACAGAATTTATAACATCAGGTTTGTCCTCTCCAACACAAGTCGCTTTACATTTATCATCTGATACCGCTTTGTRTCTTTGTTTTTCTGATGCTGCAAAGCCTTCTTCCTGGAGGACAGAAAACAAATCCTTCAGAAGTCTAGTCTGAAAAAAGCATCAGTGTCTTTGTTAACTGCTGCTTTCCTGGCTGTACCTCTGTCTCACATAGCTTTAACAATGGTCTATTTTCTGTACCAGTACAAACTTTACTGCTGAAACACACAACTGGACAGTAAGACCAAAGGATTTTCAGAAGCTGTTAGGCTTTGATTAAATACTTTTCTACTTCAGAAGTTAGGAGGATTTTGTTGACTGCAATGAGAGGACATCGGCCCCCCAGAGAGCACCTCTGGGAAGCCTGTCCCCTAACTGCATTTGTTTGCTGCAAGCCACTTCTGATGCAGCCTGTATCGTATGATAAAATTGCTTCAGCTATCTCAAAGTAGCAATGTATCTTCTCGGTTTAAAATCACCAAGGGCTCTTTTACAGGAACAAAAGTATGTCATTATACCCTGTATTACCACATTGCATCCACTACTGTGATTCATGCTGCTSCTTTGGGGCTGGAATGAAATAATTCTGTTCTTTTATTAGTTTTACCAAAAGGCAACTCATGTCAGTTCAGTGCACAGCTCTGACACTGCCAACATAGAGCTTGCCTGCCTGGAGCTCCATACTGGCCTGAAAAATCCTAGGAAATCAATTACAAAGGTGTGTAGTTATGTAACTATGATTATTTAAACAATGAAGTAGAACAGAAATAGAAACTAGGAACCATACAGTTGATAAGTTTGTAGGCATCTGCTTAAAATGCATGAGTRCAATTGTGAGAATACAAGATATATTCCAGTAGATTCTGTTCATCAAGGCCTGTTATTAATGGATTCATCTCTAAACATGCAAGTTTAGAACATGTCAAGTTTTACTTTGCACTTGGCTCACAGTAGCAAGAGCTACTGTGCAGAAGTGCAGAGGAGCTAATATTAACTTCATGTATATAATTTATTTATTGTTTCCCTGCTGCTCTTGCACAGAGCACTGTTTCTGTTGATCCTGACATTCTCTTTCATCAGCCCCTTCTTTCTGTAAGTTTTTTTTTCTTCCTCATTTCTGTGCTTGCTTTTTTTAGCATTCATGTTCTGATTGGTTTTTTTCAAGTTTTTTCTAAAGCACAAGGGAAACCAGGCCTAAAAGCCAGGGTGGTGRTGGTGTTCCTGGCTGTGACACGGTCTGCTTACTCTGTATCCACCAGCTTCACAGTAGGGATCTGCTGTTTAAAGTGGTTGCTTCTAATGAGGGAGTAAAAGAAGAAACTCAGCAAAGACTGTTTACTAAAGAGTCTGCTTTTATCTCTCAGAGACAGCGATTGTGACTGTCAGAATCTGACTTGCAGAGTTCAGCACCTTTCCATGGGTTCAACACAGGACTTCATTGGGTCAATATCAATGGGCATTTGGCAGGTTTCTCAATTTAAATCTGCATTACTGAATGCTCACAAGCCTACTGACAATTGTTTCCTTTTTAACAAAAGCTTCAGCCCTTGCTTGGGGCTTGGGGATTTTTGTTTTGGTTTGATTAGTGGAGAACTCTCCTACCTATCACAAAAATGATGGATGGCCTTATGAAGCAGGGAAGTTAGAAACAAGGTGTTTTTCTTGCCAGGGTTCAGATCATTAGAAACAAACCTCCTGCTTACACAGCTACAACATTAATACAGATTATCTTACCCTCAATGATGGCTTGAAATCTTGGTCTCTTAGGATTTCATTCACTGTGAGTTGCCCTCTGGGAGGCTGCTTGATGGTTTTAAACATTGTGCTCTGATTAGATAGGACCACGCTGGATGTGTCCCCAGTGGAGATGGCTTTGGATTCCAGCTGACCCTTGGTAGATGTGCTGCTACAACTTCCAGGTTCTGGGAAGAAGTAAAATTGTATCTAAGAGTGAAACCAAAACTGAAATGGAGAAACATTTATTTCAGAAGAGAGGACAAGTGCACTTTAAGCTCGAGAGCAATTCTTTCAGGGTATTCTGTCTGGAGGAGCTATGCAAGCTAATGAAGATGTTAGCATCATAAAAGGCATAGGAAAATGACAGGAAACAGAGAGGATTATCTGTGCTTCCAAATGAAATTAATTGTTCTGATAGTTTTCCATGAGATGAGTTGCCAAAAGAACAGCCAGATGAGGTAGCAGGAACAGTGGGGAGGGGGAAGAATTGTAGCAGTCTGATATGCAAATTTACAGTATTGACACCAATAACCTGAAGGAAAAGTGACTGCCCTGCCCAGAAGACTTTTAGTTTTGTTCCCTCTGCCAGCTGCTTCCGCGCGGGGTTGTTAAAAGGTACCTGAATTACTGGAATGGGACTTGTGGCAGCTTCTTTTCCAGTACTTCCCCTCAGGTCTTGCAGAATCCTTTAGGTTGGGCTTTTCAAGACAGCTGGGGCCTGTGTTAACAGCACTGTCCCCCAGAGTATTCTTGGCGGGGGATGGCTTCGGGTCCCACTCTGAATCAGAAGAGGGAGAAGCCACAGCTGCAGTTTCTCCTTGGTTTGTGTCTTTCAGTTCTAGAAGGCATGGAGAGGGCTCACTGCTGGACTCTTGCCTTTTCAGATTTGTCCTGAAAGACCAAAGACCTGGAGGGAAAAGGCCACCAGGCACCACCACAGGGTTGGCAGCAGCAGAAGCACCTTACACAGGCTGATAAGCAGCASATAGCACCATCACAGTGGTGGTGGAGATGTGGCCAGCAGGGAGAGCAGAGCAAGCAGTGCTTGGCAAGGCTCTGTGCAACACAAACAGGAATCAGGGCTGGCTTAGGACTGCCAGGAAAAATAGAGGAGTTGGTGGCCTGACTTGGTCTGGGCTTCACCCTGCTGGTGAAGAGCATGTGGATCATCTCCACAATCCTCTCCCACAGGCTAGGAGGGATCCACAGAGCCACACCACGGGGCACTTTCACTTGCTTGTCATTCCAGAACTGGACCATAATTTCTTCATCTCCTGAGTCTATTAAGAGAAAAAGTAAGCAGCCATAAGCAGCTGGCTTGCCTGGGCAGTGCACATAGACAGATCAGGCTTTGCAGCTTTATGCACTTTCAACTCCTGTCATGCAGCAGAATCAACTCTTGCCCCTCTCTAACCCCACAATGACACAGAGGATGAGTCGGCAGCCTGGGCACTATCCTTCCTGGCAGCATCCTTCCTCCCAGTTTGTCATCAGATGAACAAGAAAATGTTGACAGGGTTATTTTTGTTGGTGCTGCCAAAGTTAGCAGTACTGCTCTGAGAATAGCGTTTTGGTAAGTCAGTAGAGCTTGACTGTCAGACATGGGAAAAATGAATGAGCTGTTGAAATTTCCTAAGTCTGGGTGATAAAATCACCCCCAGTTACACCATTTGGTACAAATGTGAGCATTAAAGCTCAGATGAATGCTTTCTGAAAGTTGTCTCACTTGTATCTGTCATGAAAAGGCCACGGTCCTGCACATGGCAGATAGAGCCTGATCCTAGCTACGGACACAGATKATGACATTTTGATGGGTCACAACTTCATTAGGGTCTGACTGGTGACATCCATTAGCAGTATCCTCAGCTCCTGCAAGCTTGGAGCAACACTAAGCTGCAGTCTGTGCAGTTATTTCTCTGGCAGCAGCWGGAGTTTGTCTGGACAGCCTCACTTATCCTGACAGCCAAAGGAACATGAGGAAGAAGAGGGCAGCACCTTTCTTACCTCGTAAGGGGTCTCRTCTCAATGCCTGTGAGGACAGTTCCTGGGCCATACCTGGCCCCATCTGGCTCCCAGGGTGCCAGCACTCTGTCTCCAGGGAGTAAGGAGTGCTTCATCCCGCTTACATATTCCAGGATGTCATCTTTTGCTGTTTTTTGCACACGCACTGGTTGCCTTCCATGTGACACAAGTGGTTTGGCCAACTCTACCAGGAACATGCCTCTTTCACTCTGATACCAGGAACAAAATAATAATTCTGCTGAAAGACAGTCCATAATGTGCCAGGTAATGGAACTTTCACTAGGACACCATCCTGTGCCTATATGACCAGGCTAAAACAAGCCTGAACAGCAGCTAAATAGCGTGTGGTGTTAGTTCAGCATTGAGATAGCCCAGAAAAGCCTCTGTGAGACTCACCAGAAAGCAGGATGAGTGAAGCTTATGTTGAGATTCACTGCCACTAGGATCTGTGTTTTCTTTCCCTGAGAAAAAACTGTAGACAAGTATGACTGGATTTCACAAACCACGCTGTGTGTGCCAAGGAACAAGGGACACTGAGGCCATTCAGACCTGCTCTTCAGTCATGGCCAAGTCCTTCCTCATTACATACAACACTAGTTTTGCTTCTTGGGGGGGGTTGTTGGGAACTTTTATTTTCTTTTATATTAAGGCCTGTCAAGAGGCTTTCCATCAACAATGAGGCGAGGTACTTCCCTGTTCTTGAGAAAGAATAGGCTCTTCTTTTGTGTTAAGTTTGAAGTGCTAACAAACCAATGAATTAAAGCTTTCACTGGCATTTCTGGAAAGACCCTGAGCCATTGGTCTGCAGCCAACTCAAGCTGGACGTGTGTACATAAAACACAAGCCCTTTTCCTGAGCTATTGATGGTTCTGTGTCTACACACAACAGCAGCACCTACACTGCTGGCAGCAGCACTCTGGCTGGCTGAGTCTCGCTCAGTTTTCAGTGCCAGCACAAGCACAGGGCTGCTCAAGCACCAGCAGTCCTGGGATCTGTTCTCTAATCTCATCAGCTGAACCAAAAACTGCTACACTGAACTCAGGTGGTATGTGAGGACTACTCCCTATTGCATATACCCCCAGCTACCACACAGCAACCATCACTCACTTTTATCTCCTCTTTTACTGTACCACAGTAATAAAATCTATCTTGTTCCCTTCTCACCAGCACAGGCACGTTGCTGTCAATGCCCCCTGATCCCTCCAGTCTCTTCTGTGCCAGGCCAGGGCAGGCGAGGGAGTGGCTAATCCATGGGCACCTCGAAGGAAAGAAAATGGGTCAGCCCTGAAAGAAAGATTCTGTAGATCATGAAAAAAATAATCTTGTAAGATTTAAGAACTGGAACACTCCACCTCATTTTGTAGCACTCCCACAGGCCAAACAAATCATGTGGGAAGAAAGAGAAAATGTGCTGGGATAATTTTTTGATCTTGGGAAAACATTTGTGCCTGCTTTTACTCAGATTTCTTTGGTTTGGGGTTTACAGGAGGTGAGCCAGGGGTGTGGAACTGGAATCCTGGGCCAGCGTTAYCTGCACCAGGCCCTTTGCTGTTTACCTGGCAGGATAATGCAACCCTTCAGTTCAGGAGAAAGGATCCATCTCCAGCACAGAACACAACATAGGGGCACTCCAGACTACTGGAGCTGATGGTTTACCCTCAAGTGTTCAGGGAACAGCAAAGCAGAGAAGTAAACAACAAAGCTGCTGGCTGATGACAGGTTCTAGTTCAAAACCGGGAAAATCATCCCCTGTCACAAAGCATTACAAACATTTCACAGAAGATGGCTGCTAATGCAAGATGCTTTTATTTATCTAAATAATGTTAAAGGAATGTTGCTTTGATAGGAGGCTTACTCAGGCTTTGCCCTTCATAATCTCTAAGGCAGCAAATTACTTCAGTTAATGCATTTAAAAAACTGCCAGAGCAGGGGTGGCAAAGCTCAAATKATGTACCAGCTCCTAATTTATTAATCTGAAACATCAGCCTGGTTTATCCTGCTAGATATCATGGAAAAAACCAAATCACGGACTCAAACAGGAACTTGATTTTACCTCGGGGGGCTGAGGGGCTCAGCGATCCAGGCAGGATACATTACAAAAGAGCTTCTGCAGCAGGGGTTAACTGTACATATGACACTGGAACATGAGAACTTGTCCAGAGCTGGCCTCACACTGCAATACCTGTAACTCCTGGGCAGGGACCTTTCCAAACAAGCCATTATTGGAAAAGCTGCTACCTGAAGGATTCAGCTGTGATCTGCTGGAAGAGACAACATATTGACATTTCTAACACAAGCAAATGCTGTCCAGTGTACCTCAAGAAAAAGTGATTTTGATTAATTGTTTGTTTTTGTTTGAAAACACTGAATCAAAAATACTCAGACTGGCATTTGGCCAGATAAACTCATATCACTGATTTCAGTGATCTTCACTCACCCAAATCCTAACCTGGTGAAGGGGCAGATACACCCAAGGAAACTACAAATACTGTACAAATTTGCTGTGCAAATCCCCCCAGAGAAGAATCACTTTCGCCTCCCTCCAACATTTGTCCCTCTGTACCACGCAACTCTCTTTTCTTATACCTAACTCTCCTTTAAAGCTTTCTTGTACATAGACCCAGCCAAACCTTCCCCGTTTTACAAGCCGAGACAGAAATTATGGCTGAAGTTGACAAGCTGAGTAAACGTGACAGGTTTTGAATGCAATGGTAGATTACATTTTCCTGTTATTTATTTATAGTGATGTATTAAGAGGAAATATTTTGATTTTTCAGCTGTCCTATCATGTTTTATTAACAGTAGGATTATAGCTTGCAAAGAGAAAGAATGAGATGCTCAGATGTGACAAGTGATAACTATTCAAAGGCTGTCACAGTAAGATCGATGATGTGATGCTATCTCTGGTAATTTCAAAAGATGTAGAAGACAAGCTTCCATTAATTTTTTTCTTTTTAAATATTGCTTAGAAACATTTAAGATGAAATTTGCATAGAAATTCAACCACATCTAAATTTTAAGTGCTTAATTTATTTTACAAAATGAAGTTTAAGCACTTATGTTTAGATTATATTTTGTCTCTTATCTAAGAAATATGATCTGAAAGTCTTTTTTATGAACTCCCAGATATACATAATTTCAGAAAACTAGCACAGCAAATCCAGCAAGAAGAGTGGATTAACTGCTACAAAATCCATCTTTAAGTCACCAAATCAACACAATATATCCACTTGTTTCACAACTGAACAAACTCTCCTGTTATAAACCAAAACAAAATGGAATCTAATATTTTTCAAAGAAAGGCATCTATCACTTCCACATTAAAGCCCAATTTAACACCATTCAGCTGAGAGTAGGGTCCCTATTTCTTCACAAAACAGTACACTGACATAGGCAATTATGCTGTTTTTTCTGGGTAATTCCAAGAAATTTGACATAGAAGTACTTCAGACTCACCAGCTATTGGTAACAGCGTATCTGGTCCACGTGGATTTAGTCTGAATGCAGAAATCTCACCCTTTTGCCTGTTGGACACAGGAAGCCTTTTGCTGCCAGTGTTTCCCAGTTGCTATGGAGGTTGCTACAATTGGTACTCCCAGGATTGGTCATCCTGACCTTTCTGGTTAAAATCCAGTGGAACATAACTTCAGAGACGACCATTTGACTGCCACACAATTGCTATGTTTTCAACTCCCCATGGACTTACTGAACTGCGGGGCAAGGAAGGCATTTTAAGAGAGCTCACTGTCCTCTAGGCTTCTGCCCATGATTGCAGGGCAAAAAGCAGCATCAGAGTTACAGATCAGATTAAGAGGGGAAAAAAACCCACCACAGGGTGTGACAAATAAATTGGTTTGAAATGTGCATAGAAAGGTTGAAGATTGAACAAACCAAAGCCAAATCACTTTGTAACTTTCTCCTTTTGCAGTTAAGGGGAAAGGATTAATGAATTCTACTCCTCTCTTACACAGTGCCTATCAAAAATGTCATAACACAGAAATCTACCTGTTATTCTCTGCTGTAATTGTCATCTCCCTAAAAGAAAGACAAAGAATTTACATTTGTGGGTTCATTTTTTGTTTAGTTAGTTTTGTTTGTGGGTTCTTTTGGGAGGGAGGAAGTGCTTGGAATACTTAATTGCCATATGTATGCACATTTCAATTCACTGCTATAAACATAATGTAACAGGGTGGGATGGCTGCAGTTAGGGACAAGGATACATCCCTTGGGAAACCTGTAACCATTTTTTTGTATATTCTGCTGCATGGACAGCCTACAAACTCTCATGCTGTCAGCAGAATTGTTTGGTATCAATGATTCCCTTACATAGAGTAAATGTTAAGGACACCTTAGCAGTTATGAGCTAAACTCTCTTCATCATCTTCACACAGTTCTAATCTATAACACTTAACTGAAGCCACCAGCAGTACAGAGGAACAGACTGGGAGGCTGGGGAAGACCACTCCAGACCTCAACAATTATCGAAGTCCAAATGTCTTTTTTTATGCCCATGGCCAAAACCTTGCCAGCCCTCCTTACAGTGTATTGTGTAAGCAGTCCTAGTAATTTTTAAGGCCACTGACATCTGTACAATCCAGTTTTCAATAGAAATTATGCAAAGTCAAAGGTTTTTAATGTGATTAAAATTAAAAAAGAAAATGATGGAAMAGCACCTGCAAAATTTTATGCACTTCCTGTGTTTAGAGAGCTCCTACCCTACTCTATTTTTCTTCCTTTTAAACGAAATTATCCTTTCTGTTGGCATCTACCAACACTCCTTGAAACCTTTAAAAGGCATTTTAAAAGAAACACTGGCAATTAGAGTGAATATTTTAAGAAAGTGCATGTGAGAGTAAACCACTAACATTACAGAAAAAAAGAAGAATCTCAGTCTCCTAAGTAGCAAGATTTTATTTTAAAGCATGCCGGTTGTGACGGTACATACAGTTACTTCACACATATAGGTGTTACATTTTTAGCTTGGTGACAAATTTAGAAATGSGTTCTGATTTTCATGAATTAACTTAGGTCATTCAGCTGAGATTTTCCCAGTTGTCTTTTTTGTATCTAAGTGTAGTTACTATCTGCAATATTAAAGCTCTTGTGTAGGCTGACACTGACGTGTACTGCGATCTGATCCTAAGAAGTGCCAGGAACACACACGTCATTAACACAGTGGCTACTACATTCCCAGACAGGATACCTTTGTCTTGCTTTGGAACACTTCAGATAGTCTTCAAAACCGAGGTTTGTTTGTTAGTGGCTTTAGATGCTTGGTTTGGCTCCATGACACCTTTTCCTACCAACACAGAATCAGTGCAGAGCACAGACTGGAGGTACCTAATGTACTTTATAGCAGCACGGAGGGTCTCCACCTTGCTGAGCCTTTTCTCCAAGTATTCCTTCGGCAGGTGATGCCTCAGCTTGGCATAGCCTTCATTGACACACTTAACACGTTGCCTTTCCCTCTCATTCCTCTTCCTGATGAAAGCTGACCCATAGGAGTACTCATTTCTGTGGAAACTGGAATGGGGCATTTGGTAGGGAAAGGGGCAGGGCTCACCGTAGAAGGTCTCCGCGATGAGATGCTCAGACATGAAAGGAAGCAATGACAAATCTTCAGAGCAAGAGACCTGGTTTGGTGTTTCTGGGTACACATGAAACGTGACCAGGGGATCTGCACAGAAAGGCCTTGCCAGCTGTATGTGCTGAGCCTCGGCACAGATGAGGTTACAGTAGCTGCTGCCATCCATCAGGTTCTGCATTTAACCTGGAAATACATAATTACATAACACTTTAAACAACTCATGATGAACAGTAGAAAAAAATCACCTGGTCTTACCAACACTTGGCCTTGCTGCCATCTTCCAGAAGAGATTTTTTTAATACATTTGTGACACTTCAGAATCATGTTGGAAGATTAGGTAGAACAGGTAACATCCCTTTTGAAAATACAAGAAAGTGCAAGTCAGTCACACTGACTAAATTAATACATAGTGGATATTAATAAAGGTATAAAGTTTCCTAAAGAAAACAAGCAAGCAGTCTCCTTTCACCTCAGCTTTAGAAATTAGGAGAATCTACCTATAGGAACTCCACATAGGTCTAGCTTGCTCCAAATCCACCAGAACTTACATGTCTACAGACAATAAACAAAGCAGGCCAGCATCTGAGGCATTCTCTCCACCCCTTTCCCCTCCATGAAAAAAACTAAGTCTACAATTCCAGCAAAAGACTCCCTATTCACACCAAAAAGCCTTCATGACAAATTATCTTCCTCTCTATTCACTTGATATCTCATTCCATATATTAATTGCATGGAAAACTRGCAGAGAGAATGGATCTCAATCTTAATTTCATGTCTGTCAAGTATTACATCCACTCAACACGGTTTACTGTAAATTTAGAGAATTCAGAAAGAAGAAATCTAACAACATCTCATTGGGTCCTTACACTCCTTCTGCACCCACCTGCAGATTAAACACAGATATGAAACACTAAAAACAGTCATACTKCTAGAGGCTTACAAAATAAACAACTTATTAACTTAAACAACTTATTAAAGGAAAAATGCATGTTCTAGTAATACAAAGAAGGATGGCACACAATTGCTGGAGAACTGCAAGAAACCAGTAAGTCAGAGTCGCCTACCCTCAGAGCCTCTCTTTAGAGCAACATTACAGCAGGTGTAACTACTCAAATCACCCATATGTATTCATTACAAAGATAATCTTGCAGTGGTTTGTAAGTAGCTCCATTGTAGTGCCTTCCCAATATCGTTATTCAAACGGCTAAACATCAGCTTAAGTGCTGAGAATGCAGTGACTGTTACCTAATAGCTACTTAAAACACATTTGAAATAACCAGTTGATTTTTAAAGYATCACTGGCAGCCATCTTTACAGACTGGAAGCAATACTTGCCTACAGACAATTATCCAAAAGTGCTCTTACTCACCATCCACTTATACATCTATGTATTGCTGTCTAAAGCACTTAGGTTCTATTACATCCTCTAAAATGGAAACCACACCTGAACATTAAACGAGGTTACTAAAAACTTCTGGATTCCATACTCACAGAAATCTGGCAAAGCTTCAAATGTTCCAGCCATGGATCCATAATGTAAAAGGGATCCCCCTAACCCTTCACAAGGATACAGGGATAATGTAATGCAATGTTTTCCAGTGACTTCATACCTGCCACATTCATACTTAATTGCCATATTCATACAGAGATTTTTTTGTTGGTATGGACCTATTCTCACAACATATTCTATGAAAATGCATCTGTATGCAGTTGTCTCTTTTTSTAATGCACACAGAATTCATAACAGAAATCCTGTGAGTGAAGAAGTCATTTACAGCTGTTAGGCATGAGTGAAAGTCGCATGCATCGTAAACAGGTACCTCTGTAGGTAGGTTGAAAGCATGAACACACATCCATTTCACATCAATACACATGCAAAAAAATTCAGGTGAATATACACTCTTCATAAAATGAAAATAGTAGACAGTCAACTTTTCCACTTCTACTTACACAGGTTATTGCCTATAAATGTTCTACTGCTAACAATTTAAAAGCACTGAGAAAGAAAAGTCTGCTGTATAGCCAAAAAAAAATTATAGCACATCACTCCAGAGCAAGAAACCAAAACCAACACAACCTCTCAAGAAGATACTTGCAGTATTTGTTGCTTAGTACTGACACTTTTGCTGTATAACAGCATCACATAAAACAGTTACCTGCTGCCTCAACACCTGCAAGAAGCGCAAAATGCAAGAGTTAGGAACATTTTCCTGTTAGACTACAGACTCACCAATCTTCAAATCCAGGGAAAAAAGACGTGCTATCTTAAGAGTGACGAATACCTGAAAATATCTGAATGATATCCAAAAAGAAAAAAAAAGAAGTTAATGTTCAATTTTTCTTACACCTTATAAAATAAGAGATCATATTAAATAGGATTCATTTAAAAGCTATGAAAACACTGTTAGTGAATGGCTGATAGAAGCGATTTACAAGAACATTGATACTCAGTGAAGATCTGTGGCTAGATACAGCAACATGCCAGTCTCTTACCTGAATTATGTATCTTGTTCCACTGAGTCAAAGATTGCTGCAATTTATAGTCAATTGACAACATGCAAAGTAGCTTACAGTTAGATCTGCTCATTTCTGGTTGGGCTTTTCCACCCACACCACAGCTATGATGGCAACAAAACTTGGCATTTAGGGCTAGAAATTTTGAAACTGTAATTGAACAAATCCAGATTACCTGAAAAAGTAATCAGGAATGTGGTTTGTTCACTTCCTATTTGCCTTCTGCTGCAGACTGCTAGACTACTACAGTATAGCAATGAAAATTGCTATACTAACCAACATTTTTATAGATTGGCATTTTGTGCTTTAATGTCTAAATATAACAAATCAGCTAAAATTTAGGTAAACATTCACCATCAAGGCATAAGCAAACTAATTTCCATAGCTTCATTTTAAACACAGAAAAGCAGCATTTATTTAGGAATTTGTGATGGATTTATCTCCACTAGAGGTGAGGACCCATATTATTAGTTAGCTTAATGCCTTTAAATTTAATCATTATTCCTGTAATTTTGGGAAATTCTCTTAGTGTTAAGCATAACATCATATAAAAGGTGCACATTTATATAAAAACAGAGAAGAGTTAAAACAGTGAGCAAATAGCAGCAAGTTTTGCTTAAAAAGAGAAACAGTGTGGACTCTATAACACAATGTATACATATATATAGATGCTACAGACATCAGGATATAACTGTCCAGTTGTACAGGTGCAAGAAAATATGACACCTATCTTCAAAATTCCTACATTTTATGGGATTGACACTTAAGACTATCTCACTAGTTGACCCTTATATAGTATAACCACACAATCAAATCAAAGTATAACCACACAAAAACATCCAAAACCAAACCAGCTTAGCTTAAAACTTTCAGAAGACACTGAAACACTTGTACTACCAAAAGAAAAACATGCATTCAAGTCCCACTTCTTGCGACTGTCAACCATCAGGGAAAGATTCAGCTTCTGCTGCCACTGTGTGGGGCCACAGTGATATATCCTGCATTCCCTTTCCCAAGCCAGCTTCAGGCCTCATGGGAAAGGCAGCCAAGAGGCAGAACGTTCTCCAGGACTGGTAGACAGGGAGATACTCAAGAAACAAGGCATGTATTCAACAAATAGGTTGCATTCTTTTTCTTTAGGGGACCCTAAGTACATCAGTGTCATAACCAGTTACTGAACAGCACCAACTGAACAATATCCCACTCATCAGAGCAACATTGAACACAAAAACTGAGCCCAAGCCTGAATTTATTTTTCTTGTCCCATCAATCCTTGTGCAATTTTTTTTAACTTAAGGCAAGGAATCCTGTGCATCCACCAATTCATCATCAGCTTTAAATCCCTCCAGAAAAACTCACTTTTGGAAGTCTCCAGGACTGACATGAAAATGAAGCTCTGTATCTGCAAGAGTTCAGTCAGTGCAGAGGTTATGGGACAACTGTGTTTGCAGCCCTGACCTGGCAGAGCTATGAGCACAGGTAGAGTGTGTCCCCCAGGCATGGACTAAGCAAGCCAAAGCTCCACCCAGAAACAGAATATTCTTCCATGCACCACATCCTTCCACACTGGAACTGAAAACTGTCAGACAATAATGTACGTACATATGCACAGCTACATCTGAGTCAGGGTCTAAAAATTTTTTTCAATCAGCAATTTGATGAGCCTTTCTTTACCTCATCACTGAACAAGTGCATATTTCTACTCTGAAGCATTTTCAGAGAAGTGCTTTTATAGATGGAATTTACAAGCAGCATAATGAAGGAGAAAAATGATGACAAACTGATAATGCAGATCAATTTTTCAAAAATCAGTTTTATCTTTAATTGTTACATTCCAAAGGGGATATATGAAAGTTAGTCATCCAGCAACTGTATACCCTCTGAAGAGAGATGAGTACAGAGCCACAGATAAAAAAATACACCTAACTCCCAAGATGACAGGTGCTAGAGGAAGTATGTGCCTTACACCATCAATGCAAACAAATGCAGTAAGATTTTTATAATAAATATTTCATCATATACTAACTCCTGAGACCTTACCCATGAAAAGAAAGGGAAAGATTTTTTTAAGAGTTATCATACACTTACAATATATTAAGCTATTAAAGGAAAATAGAACAAAATGTCAACACTGTTTTGAATGTGCACTGCATTTGAATTTATCTACATCACAGTACTTGAAATATGCAGCTCCAGGAGTCAGTGTCCACTTATGTTTTGCCTTAAATCTGCAGACATCACTTGCCATACAAGCATCTTGAAGGTACGAGTGCAAGAAACCAAATGATGAACACAGACAGCAGGGTTTCATTCTCTGAGACCAAAACTACACTGCAAGACTTTGATTTCCAGTACCTAGCATCAATCAGCAGAAAATCCAAGTATATTTACAAAAGGACTTTACATAAAGTGATTAGTGAGTTGTAAGTAATTGCTGTGTTCCCAGGTACTTTTTAACCACATAAATAATAGAGAGAAATCTATAGTTAAAAACCACCATAAAGTCACAATTGTAAATAATGTACCACAGTGGCAACCCAAGGTATCTTAGGATTTGTTTTCTTTTCAGTTTTGTTAGTAAAAGCCATTTGAAAATGTAAAGATTTAAGCTTTTGGTTACCTAATCTTTCTTAACTGCTTCCACTCCAGTACATTCTTTCGAAGTTCAAATACTTTTATTCTTTTTTTAAATCAATAACAAATCATTCAAGAAAACTCTTCTGAATTGGCAGAATCAGGAAGACTTATGTCAGCTCTTTCCACTAGTCCACATCCCTGGAGTTATCTCCCCGAGCCCCAATTAGCTCAGCACAACGTGACGGTCAAAGACAGATTTGCGCTGCTCCTGGACCTGTAACTTCCAGCGCTGCTGGGCGTACTCCACTTTGTTCAGCACATTGGCGCGGCTCCGTGAACGGGCCAGCACATCGTGGGCGTTGGCGAAAGGCTGGTGGTCCTGCAATGGTAAAAAGCCACAGTTACACCTCAGCAATTCCACCTACAAGAGTTTTCTGTGTCACTACATCCCACTGGATGTGGGGGTTGGTCTGGGTCTTTTTATAAGGTAAATGAGATATTCCAGCAAGCTGGTTAGTAAAGATAACCAAGCAAGTTTTTGAATTGTTGGAACTGTACTTCAATTTCTCATTCTCAGGAACTTCCACACCTTTCCCAAACAGACCACACTTCATTGTATTATCAATTAACTGTTGCCCAGAAACATCATAGTGAGCTGCAGGATCAGATCAGTCTTGCATCCTTTAATAACTGGAAGGACAGCAGCCCAGAGCAGACCCAGGCACTCCATGGTGAATGTACTTCACAACTGAATTAGAGTCAGTTCTCTGCCAGCTCCTGGCCATTTCCTGCCAGGCAGTTCAGAATGTTCACACACAGCTTCTATATCAAACCAACACACTCGGGTGTTTACCAAACTAAGCCTATTGTTCAGAGCTGTCTGAACGTACAGTGTCAATACAGCTGTTTAAGTGACAGAGCTCAACAACAGCTGAGGGTTTGTTTAACATTTAGTCTCTCTGTTTCCTAACAGTACCTGCAAGGCTTTATTTTCTTCTAGTAAATATAGCCAAGTTATAAACAGTGAGAGTTGGAATTGAACATCTTATTTGGCTATCAAACTGTTTGGACAAAGTCATGCTGCTAAAGCTATGTCAAACTATCATATAAACAATGCATAACAAAAAAAAAAAAAAACATAATTGTGCCCTGTATTAAATAACTGCCTTTTTGTATGCCTATATTTCATATTCCTTTTTTTTAGAACACTTTTGAAGACATTTACATTAATGGATATTTTATTTGTGATGTGACTGTGTAGAGGAGCTCAATGACAATTCTCAGCTGTACAGAGATTATCATCAATGAAACCTCTTGAAACGACTGCTCCGAGTCTCAAAGCCACAATGAGCATTAAAAAATTATGCTCATGGAGAACACAAGACAATCCCTGACCAGAAGAGCTATCATCTCACCATAAAAAGTTATACAATTGGATATACCTAGAATGGGCACTTCACAGGTGACAGATCACACCATTCATAGGGGGAAAAAAAAAAAAAAAACCACAATAGCAACACATGGTTTTCTACTGTAAAACACATGGTGGAAGAACATAGGACAGTCTAGATGGTACGGGCCCTCCAGACAAAAAAGAATCTCAGCTCCAAGGCTAGCTACTGGCAATTTCTATGTGGACAATAAGGGGGAAAAGGAATATAAGAGGAAAGAGGACAAATGAAGTGGCTTATATGCACCAGTTGCCACTGTCATTAATGGGCAACAAGAAAGAGTGAATACACTGTCATGAAACTCAGCCACGAAATTGATGGACATGGTATTTTTGAAGTGTGACAAGAATACCTCAAAAATGTAAAAGAGGGAGGGCAAGGATGTGCATAATTCATAAGGGACCTTAAATTATGTTATGGTCACAGAACAGCTACAGCAAAACCTGCCATTGAATTAGATCCAGGCTTTAAGGTAAACTCATTCTGCAGCTAAACTGAATTCTGCCATGGGGTTTATTTCACTTCTTCCATCTACAATTGAAAGACTAACTCAGATTTGGAAGCATTAAGATAATTTATCTAAGGTATAAATTTGTCTGAGATATAGTATATAGCACAAGCTCACTTAATTCAAGCAGGAACTGCCCAATTTGCTGTAAGAATGCAGACAGAGGAAGAGTCATTCAAATACTTCCTCTCAAAAAATAAAAACRAAAAAACCTCAACCCAAAATCCTCCTAGAGGTGACTGGGAAAATCTTATATTGTCAATACAAAGACATTGAAACATGTCAAATGTAATACACTGGGAAGTTCAGAAACAGTGGGACATATCATGAGCCATCTTCACTTGAAGAGGTGCTTCTGTTTGGTAAGGGGTAATTAAGTATTCAAAATTTAAGCATTTTCCTACATAATAATTTTTATCAGYTATGCTTTAGCTACCTTGATTTCACATGTAATTAATACCCAGCATTAGAGATTGGAAAGGCCAGTAATGACAGGAAACTGTGTCATTAATCGACTACTCCCCTTTTCCCAAAAGAGGCTCTTCTGGCCTGTTGGAATTTACTGTCACATTTTGATTTCTAGCTGTAATACTAAGAAATTATTTCAGCATCCATCACTGTTCTGCTTCATTACAGCAATTTCTTCTTCAAGTTTTAGAAGTAAGAAACTCAAACTGGAATAATAAAAACTGCAACACCCATACTTATTTTTTGTAGAGAGCAATCTAAGCAGTAAGCAGTTCACATAAAAATTATCATTAGCAAGACTCTGGATCCTTAACACTTAAGAAGTTGTACTCCTATATATGTTTACCTCCATTCCTACACCATTACCTCTCTGTGGAAACAAACTGTACCTAGAGCTGGTGTAACTGAAGTAGTTCTCACCTTACTACTTTASAGCCCAATGAAAAAATGAAAGACTGGCTTCACAGAAGTCATCACAGAGCTTTCTTTTTCTCCTCCTTCAGGAAAAGCATTTACACTGCCCGGTAAAAAAAGGCTGCTCATCCCAAATAATTACTTATCAACTAACCAACCCAATCTTCATGCTAACCACATGCACAAAGACTCTGGAGAACTCACCCCAATGTCTTCATCACTTTGTATGAGCTGTGAATGTCCAAGGAGACGCCTCTTCAGTATAGGTTCCACAAGGGTAAGATACACCATGTACAGAAGAAGTAGGCCCAAAATAGACAGGTATATGATGATTGTCACCTACATAATGCAAGCACAGTTTATGCCAAGATTGTGAAATTTCCCCCACAGTCTCACAACAGGCCGCAAGGACCAAAAAAAGAGTACAGGATAAGTTTGATATCTGGTAATGTCACCAGATGACTTAAAACCCAGAGAGGAAAACCAACAAACTACAACATGGCATTAAAAGGGTTTGGGGCAGCTTGAAGCAGTGAGATCTTSCAAAGGATCTTATGCTATCTCTCACAAAACAATTTAGTGTTATCTCACTTCAACCGAGGCAACTGTTCACTCTGGCCACCAAACTGGGGTGACAAATTTGGGGCATCACTCAATGATCTCCCATTCCCTTGGCACGGATCTGCATTCAATCACCAAGTAAAATGGGAAGGCAAAATAAAATACCCAACTTCTAAAATCCCAAAATAAAGTAGTCTGGATTGTCAAAGATCAAAAAACGTACTGCACTCCATTCACACCAGTCCAGGCCTCAATGGCTCCCATGGACAAGAATGTGAAGAACACAGAAAACATCTGTTAGAACCAACATGGATGACAAAAATTTATAGTAAGCAAGTAAGGCAGTTGAGCAATGAGAGGCCCCCAGAAATAATGATGAAAACAAAGTCCAAAGTTTGACAAGATGTCTTAGAACACCCAGAATTTTAGCAGGGTATGAAATCTGATCTCAAAAGTAGAGATCTTCAATAAAGGGTCTCCGAAGCTACTTCTTCAGATAAAGTTTGATGCTATTGTTACTGCTCAAGAGTGTGAACAACTACTACAAAAAAAGTTACATTTTAGGCTGCCTTAGAAAAGTTTTCCCTTTAAAAATTGTATTTCTCTAAAAGACAACAGACGTATTTACTAGGCTTACCTTAATTGTGACAGAGCTTCTCTCTTCATATTTGCACTCACAACGTAAACAATACGCTTCTACATCAGGTCCAGGGACAGGCATAGGCTCCACCACATGG